TGCCTGCCAGTACAGGAAGGACGGGCTGTCCCGAGTCAGTCCTGCACCCTGGAATAGCCCCAGCTTCGGGCTGAGGGTAAACCCCCCGACAGCTCTGGGGCAGGGGAAGGCAGGGGAAGGGGGTTTGTTTCTCCCGGTTTTTGTTTTTCATTTCTCTGTACGATGCCATGTGTTATGTTATGACATCAACTGAAAAAGCAAAGTAAGGTGGAAAAATGCCAAGATGGCTCATTTCCCACCCAGCGCGTGGATTCAGCTTGCGCGAGACTTACCGGTGAGAGGGGCAAAATCTCCCCATCACCCCCCCCCCCAAGAAAACCCCCCACAGCCAGAGAGGAGCCGTTTTGTATCGGTTCCAAACTGTTTGCTTCTGACACTTGCAAGCAAAAATGTTTTGCAGATGCCACCGGCTGGCTTTGAACGGGCTCCAAGGAGAAGGGAGCTGCAGGGAGGGAGGGAGAGCCCTTTGCTCTGGGGGGAGGCAGGAGAGCGGTGAGGGCAGCAGCAGGCAGAGGGGCTGGGTGCCTGCCCGTGGCGAGGGCCGGGCACGGCTGGGGCCGGGGAGGGGGGCCCCGCTGCTGCAGAGCAGCGGCTCCTGCTCGCTCCGCTTCCCTCCTAGCTCTGCTCAGTGCCAGCTGCCCGACAGCAAAGCCTCCGATGCAGCAGGACCTCTGGGAGCAGAGGGCTCTTCTTTGGCCAAGGACAAAGAAAACTCTGAAATCGGCTTTTTCTGGCCCAAACTCCAAGTCGTGAGCTACAGCAAGACCCAGCTTTGCACTGCTCTGGCTCTCCCCGGCTGTCCCCGCTTGCTGGACGGGTCCCCAGGAGAGGGGGACACTCAGCCTGGACAGGAGAGACATCGATGCCTGTCCTGGGCTGACTCTTCCAAATCCGACGGGCACGGGGCAGGGAAGGATGACGGGCTGAGGAGCTGTGGATAAGTGGTGTACAAGGTGGAGAAGCTTCATGTGCATTAACTCTGCTCCTGTGGTTATTCCATCCCAGCAAGCAGGTTTTTTCGCTGGAAAGCAATCTAATTCCAGCTGTAAGCAAAGCCAGTTACAGTGCAGGGATGAAAACCAAATTAAATCTTATGCATGGCTCAACGAGATGTGGGTTAGCGAGAGGAAGAGAGGAGAAATCAATGTGAGCCTGACAGGCGCTGCGCGGGGAAGAGGGAGGCAGGGCTGGGGATGGACGGTGCCTCTGCCAGGACGTGGGGATGGCCGTGCTCAAGGAACAGGAGGAAAGTGCCTGGATAGAATGGTGGAGTGGTGTTAGGGAGTCACTGCAGGGGTCATCAAAATGAGGGAAGAAGAAATGAAGACTCAAAGGCAAACAGAAGATCCCAGTCGGAGAGCTGGAGACGTGAGCAGCTCATTTCCAGTTGATGTTCACGGTCAAGGGAAGAGCAAAATGCTTTGCCCTCGGTGCAGACCACAATCCTGGGTGGTTCCTAGTGCCGCAGCCTCGGCTGGTGGGTTCAGAGACGTTCCTCTGATGGCTCTGGGCCACGTACTCCTGGGCCCCTGTCCAGGCACATCCCGTCCTTCACCCCTCTGCTTCCCACCAAGGAAAACCCCTCACTGTGATCTCCCAGAGCTTTTGGGAAAAGTGGAAAGAGAGCAAAGGACATGGGGAGAAGGAGAAGGAGCTTGCTGCCTTCTCTCCTCCAGTGGGCTAGATGGGTGGGGTGGTGAAGGGATTTCCAGGATCTCCAGAGGGTCTGGTGAGTCTGGAGGGTCACTGCTCCCTTCCTGGGTGATGGGGCAACGGGCCAATGCTTCAGGGCCTCCTCTGCCCCCTCCATCTGCATCTCCTCCTCCCACAGCCTCAGCCAGGTCCATTTCTCCGTTCATGGCCAATAGTTTATTTTTGCTCTTCCTTCTTCTTGGTATCTTTTTCTTTTCTTTTTTTTTTTTAACTTCTTCCATCCTGTCCCTATTGATCCACAGAGTAACTGGAGATGCAGAGGAGTCAAGACAGGAATAGACACGAGCAAGCCCTTGGCCTGTGTCTTGTGCGTGTGCCAGGCAGGGTGGGGAAGGGAAGCGGAAAGATTTTTCCCCGCAGATCTCTATTCACCTCAGTGCAGCAATGAGCTTGGGCATCTTCTCAGGAATGGGTGAATGAGCTTTTCCTGGCTGCCGGGACTGACGACCGGCGCGATGAAAGCCGCTGGTTCTCTTTCCATTACACACTGTGTCTCTTTGGAGTAATTTTTTCCCCTTCGTAATGTCAGTCACCGCAGCGCTCAGCGGGGCACGCTCCATCACGGAGACATTAATAAGCCATAATTGAAGTTAATGTGCCATGGCCAGGACATGTGGATCCAGTTAGGAGAAATCAGATTGAGCAGAAGTGAATCAATTTCAGGCTGATCATTAAGATTTCTCTCCTTCGTCCTCCCCTGCCCCAGTGCATGCTCTGTCTGTCTGTCTGTCCATCCTGCTGGTGGTGAGCAGTAGCAGTGGAACAGAAGGAATCTGCCCAGCCCATTATCCTGGCACCAACAGCCAGGATCAGGCATTCCAGACCCGGAGGATCAAGGCCATCCTCCAAAGCACCCCCTTCAATAACTCAGGCTGGTTAATCGTCAGTGGTACCCACATGCAGGGGATACGCTTTTCTGCCTTCTTGGTGATGCTGGATGCTGTATTGCTGTTAAAGATGAAGCCATCCCTGCTCAGCCCGGTGGCTGCCTCCTGCTCTTGTCCTCCTGGCCAGTGCAGTGATGGCAGCTCAGCGCAGTGATGGCAGCTCAGCACACTTCCCCCACAGTTGTAGCGCAGTTGGAATTGGGGGTGTCAGCATAAAGTGTATCCCAGCTGCCGCAGGCTGCTTTGCCCTGCTTGGACATTCCTCCTGTTGATGAAGTTGTTGGAGAGCCTCCAGCCAACCTTGACTTCCCCAACAAAGTGGTCTCTAAAAGGGAGGAAAGAAGCAGGTTTGGTCCCTAGAATGGTCTCTTGGTGAGGGTCTTAGATTTTGTGTAATGCCCCTGTTGAGGACCTGTCCCAGAGGAGCAGGGTGGGACCTGGCGGCTGCACTCCCACTGCTTCGCAAAGTGGGACAGGCAGGGACCTGGGGTGAATGATCTCTGAGAGCATGGGCTCCCCCAGCTGAGCTTGCCCGGCCCCAGAGCATCACCCCCAAAATAGCCACAGGCTCACCCAAACATCCCCCGAGAACCAGCCCAGCACCCCTGCAGCCCACAGCCAGCCTCCGCCCATGCTCAGCAGTTTTGGGAAGACCTCAAAAGCCAGGGCGAGCACCGCCTGCCCCTGGCCCCGCTCCTTCCACCACAGCTCCCGGCAGCCAGACTTCAGGTTGCAGGAGGTAACAGCATCCTCGTGTCAAGGACGGCCAAGTCTGCGCCAGCGGTGCGCCGCGTTCCTCGGCCCGTCCTTGCCTCCGTGCTGGGCAGCCCCCAGGAGCTGGATGGTTGAATTTCCCTGGCATTCCTCCAGGCTGGAATTAGCTTGAGTTCAAGTAAAAAAATCTTGTTCTTGGTCATTTAGTTAAATTAAGTTAATGGGCAGCAACTGTTTTATTGGCTTTCCTTGAGTCTCGGGAAGGGTTTTGCTCCCACTGCAGCAAGATGGAGGGGACCTTTGCTGCGCGGGAGGGAGAAAGCCAGAGAGCTCCTCCTTCCCCTAGAGGCTTGTGACACTTTGTCAATAGCCGGAGACGGATGCCCAAGGTCCTATTACCTGCTCCTGGCTTTGGTTTGTGAAGGTTTTTATTTCCCCTCCGATTTTGTTGCCGAGTTGTGTCCGGCCCTGAGCGGATAATAGAATTTCATCGATAGACTGAGGAGGTGATGTATGTTAAAGCACTTAATATAAAGAGACTTCTACAGAAGCCCAAATTCAATTTGGCCAATGAACTCAATTGCAGGCATTATTGCATTCCAGGAGAAAGACCAAGAGCATTTATACACATTACTCTGCAAATATTTATGTCCACGTACCAGTGTGATGTCCTCTTCACCCTTCCTCCCTTCTGTTGCCTGACCCCCTAATGGGGAAGTTGGGTTTCGTGTTTGCTTTTTAAGGCAGCTTTGAATGTAAATAATGTTCCACCAGTCAGCAGGATCTTGACAGCTGGCGAGTGTCAACTTATTTAAAATAAATCGCCTCTCGAATGGGAACAGCCAGCTAGCGTGCTCTCCACTTCGACATCTTGTAAATTGTCTCCTCTTTGTAACCCAAACCTCAAATCATTTCGAAGGGCAGCGAGGAGGGTTCCTCCCCACCAGCAGGAAACATCTGGCCCTACCACACAACCAAAAGTGAAAACCCACAAGGAGAAAAAAACACTCACAACATGTTCCTCTGACCTAACCCAGGGCTTCTTCTTTGGTTTTTTTTTTTTTTTTTTTGGCTCTCCAAAAAGCAGTGAAACCCAGAAGCCTCTCTCCCTGCTTTGAGCAGAAATGAAGTTAAAATGCCTTTTTCTTCCCCTTCATCCCCTGCACCGCAGGCTCTGTTCCACTCTCAGCCCTGCTCCTGGGATGAATGAGCCTCTGTCGCCTTCTTCAGCCCTTTCAGCCCAGCTCCGATCCCTGGCAAGAGCGAGCCTGTGCCAGAGCGATCTCCCAGCAAGGCAAGT